TACCTTTCTACCTCTTAACTTACCTTTCTATCTCTTCTTAACTTACCTTTCTACCTCTTCTTAACTTACCTTTCCTCGGAATTGTGCTCTTGGGCTCGCGAAATGGCGCAGACGATCGCGAAATGGCATAGATAGGGTTTTTCTTTCTTTTTATTATTATTATTTTTTTAATAAATATATTTACTTACCTTTCTACCTCTTCTTAACTTACCTTTCCTCGGAATTATGCTTTTAGGCTCGCGAAATTGTATAGGTACTTACCCTTGCTTTGGAATCGTGATTGTAAACTTGTAGTATGTATTAATATTATTTTTTTTAAAAAAAACAGATTTTTTAATAAAAATTTTTACTAATAATTTTAATTTTAATTTTAATTTTGACTTTTATTTTAATTTCGACTTTTATTTTTAATTTCGACCCCCATTTTAATTTCGACTTTTATTTTTAATTTCGACTCCTGTTTTTAATTTCGACTTTTATTTTAATTTCGACTTTTATTTTAATTTTGACTCCCATTTTAATTTTGAAATATCAAAATTTTGAAATGGTATTTTGGGATCAATTTCGGGGTATTTATATTTCGGGTTTCGGGTCCCAAAATAATTTTGCGTGCAAGTATAATCACAACCAATTAATATAGGATCGATATCATCAAAAAAGGTTAATAATGAAACAATAGAGCTAACACAACCAAAGATTCGAAGCTCTACTTCTCCACATACAGTAAAAAAAAGTAGTACCTCTTCCATAGATAATATATCGAAAATAGAGGCAGATCTTGAAAAATTAATGAAATATACTGATAGATTGGCACCTATAAATTCATCTTTGTCTCAGTAAGTTGAGAACATCTTTTTGCAAGAACTTTACCTGCGTTTAAAGTCATACCAAGCCACTCTTCAGTTTTTATGAGTCGCTTTTCGAGTTCATCATATTTTTCACAATTTACACATTTTTTTTTATTTCGGAACAAGCCGTTAGGCTATTCTCCGAATCATGGCTCTTCGAGCTTACCTCTGATACCTGTAATTTTTCTGTATTAAATGTATTGCATGATTCTTTGCGAGTAGAAAGAGGAATTGTAATAGTCTTTCCATTGTGTGTTACTATAAATTCCCCTTTTACTATAAGATCCCATCCGATATGATGTTGCCATTTTGTACTGAGTATCATTATAGATATATCATTCCCATTTCGATCTTTTTTTGTAGGGATTACTGATATTTCTTTTTCAGAAA